AAAAAAAAAACATGAAAGCCATGTACAATTAATAGTTAAAGAATAATTCATTTACCATTGTTGTGGTAATCTATAGAGACCACCAGGCTTGCCGATTAAGGAGGGGATGGGGGGTGATTACCCCCGCCAAAAATTGAAAACACGTCGGATTTTCTGCGAAAATTTCCAATACTTTCTGCCAAAATTTAAAAAGTCTCATTGTAAATTCTTACAGAAATTCGATTTTTTAGCACTTTTTGGCATTTTTCTGGCAGAAAATCGAATAAAAACACTTTTTTTCCGCAAAATCTCTCAGAAAGTCGACGAAAGTAGCATTATTTGTTCGATTGCTGTCGACATGTAAAATGAGGTACTTTTCTGCCAAAATTTTCCGATTTTCTGGCGAATTTTTTGCCCCTCCCATAATTCAAAACAATCGACAACCCTGAAGACCACCAACATCAACTCGAAGTAAAAAATTAACAACTTTTTTAATAATAGTACGATCAGCAAGAGCAAACGTAACACTTGCTAAAAAATAAGAAATTATTAATTAGTAAAATCTTATTTCTAAATCGTTTCATTCGAGTTATTGATAAAACTTATATTTCAAAAAATAAAAGCCTACTCGGCCATACGATTCTGTAAAAGTTAACAACTGTCGGACATTGTTCGATTTCATGTTATGGCTACGTTTAATGAAATCTTTACTGAAAGCAAGTCATTACCGAAACAAAGAGGTTCGAGCTGAAATTGTATCTTTATGTACGTTTAGTAGTCATTAAACAGCTCTGAAATTCTTAACAAAAACGCACATAAAACTCGTTGTATTGAATTCGATCGAAAATATCTTGCCTTCAGTAAAATTCTCATTAAAACGAAGACTACTGTTTAATACATAGCTCGATCTTGTAAACGATATCGTCTGGAAAATATAGCTCGTATTTCATTAAAACACCATTTGCTATGAAGGTTATCAATATAAGGAAGTATCTAAAATACAACAATATTTTTTATATCGTCAGTTTTATTTTATTTTATTACTTTTCTATCAAGATTATGAAAATTTTCATCATCTTTATTTGTATCAAAAGTTATAGCATTATGTGTTATAGCTAAAATTCCATGTATAGCTGTAACTCCACAAATTAATGAGCATTCAGTTGAATAACGTACTGAACCAGAAGGCTGTGGGTGTGGGTGAAAAGATATGACACACCCACACCCTAGCCGTTAAAAAGTTACTAAGTGTTTCCTGAGATAGCCCTCAACAAGTTACAAATAGCACCTTCAGATAAGTCTCGAAACGTTTCTAGTAGTGCCCAGATAAGCGTATTAAAAGATTATAGATATCACTCTTAAGGATGTGTTAAAAAGTTACTGAACCTTTATGTTCACTACTATTTCAAAAATCAGATAAATATCTGAATCAAAGATCAAATTTTTTATAACGAGATGATAGAAGATCTTTATTTCAACGTCGTTTAGATAAAGAGTATTGATTTCTTAACGTTAGAGTTCACTTTAACATGTAGAAATGTAAAATTATTATACACTAATAGAAACTATTTTTTCAACTAGTGAAAAATTTTCTATATGAATTCACGTAAGGTGTGCAGACATGTACTGGATCTTTTCAGGTGTGATCGGTCAGTTCAGTTGTACGCGCATTGAATATATGAGATCAAGCTGAGCATTTTATCATAAAAATTTTGGGAGTTTGAATTCAAATATAAACAAAAAATTAGATATTTCATTTCTCTATTCTTTTGTTTTTGAAAACATATCTGTTTGGACAAAATTTTAAAAATCAACAAATTTTTCAATAAGATCAAAAGCCGTAAGTCAATGTTAAATTTAACTTGAACAACACGAATAATTTTAAAGTATTCATAGAATTGACAATGGATTTTTTACAAAAAAAAAAATTGTAAATATTTTATTATTCGATTACATAAATATATGATATTCTGAGCGCGTTTTTTTCATTGGTTAGTATTTTAATTCTTTTTTATTTTCTTCGCTTAATATTTATCAATAATGTGTTATAAAGTTCAATGTCGAAAATGTAATAAATTTACATGGTCTGGTTAGTGAATATGAGATCTATTCTTTGATATTTTATTAGTTAACTACATGTGCTAGGTTGTGGTATGCATAAAGATTCAATTTTGGCAACGATTTCTCTCGATCAACGTTGTACATGTCGTTCGATCAAGCAATCGTCTCAATCACAATCTTATCAACAAACATCATCAAACTCGACTTATTTTACTGGATCATCACGTTACCCATAAGAATGTTTTGTTTATTTCTTGTTTTTTTTTGAAGCAAAAATCAAATTGAGATTTCAAAGAAATGGATCAAGTGAAACAAGTCTATGTATTTATATTTATATTTTTTTAAATTGAAATAAATCGATTTTAACCTTGATGATAGTATTAGTATTCGTGGATAGGTTATCGAAGTCTTTATCTATTTCAGTTTCGCTCAGAGTGATTCATATAATACGTGGAAAACAGATATGAATAACCATAGTTTACCATTGTCTTTCGTCGTGGAAAAACGATTTATTACACAAAATTATTTGGACATTCAAAATATTAATATTAGTGTAGCGTAAAGACATTGACGTTGAAAAATTTATATTGAATATTTTAAGAACTATACGAATCAAACTTTAATACATGATTTTTTTTAATGTAGTCCATGTATTTAACTCCGAATCAAGTTAGTTTTCTTCGAACGTCATTACATATAAGAAAACAGTTCATTCGTTCAATAATAATAATCTTTACGAATACATTTCGTCTATTGATAATAGTTAAATGAAGTATTCTTATTTAACAAAAGGATATCTTTCTAGTTCTTTGAATTAACGGAACTTTCAGGACACACAACAGTTTTTCTCGTAGGACTTTAAGTACAACTTTGATTTTTGTTATATTTATTGACAATAGATTGAATTGAACAATCTGTTTGAGAATTATTAATATCCACATGTCTTTCGCTTTGAACTACTATTCCCTGTTACATAACATTTATTGAAATGCTGTTTAGATCATCGTCAAGCAAGTGCATATATACGTGCGTTAATTACCATTTTATTTTAAATTTGGATAGAAATAATTTTCCTGTCAGTTAAAATCTGCTAAAATATTAGTATATTGTTTTGTTTGCTTTTGGTTATGTATTAAAGATCTTATTACATGAAACGTTTATTAATAAATAAATACTTTATGTTATACGCAGTACTGATTTCAGCATTATAAAAACTGAAAAGAAAAACAAAATTTATCATCACCTTGTTGAAAACCACAGATTTTTTGTTTTTTGTGACGCTGATAACATTTGGAAGGAAGGTCATTTGGAATACGATGACCTCCAAGTGGCAAAAGAGTGTGGTTTTAGTATTTCCAAGTACGGTAAAAGGTCATACTTTACCGTACTTCAAAATACTGAAGTCATGCTTTTTGTTCTTCGGATGACACATCATTTTAACCAAGATTTTGCTTTCTTTAGCATATAGCTCTTAAAAGATAAGCTTCACAAAGTCTTCTAAAGCTATTAACTATTCAAACCACTATTTCAATTTGAGTTAATTGTTTGATATCGTGAAAAAAATTTAAAAAAAAAACGTTGGTCTTATACTTTTGACCAGTAGTGTATGTTTAATAAGAATTCTCTTTAAAAATAAAGAAAAATAAATGTCATATTTATTTTTTATCATTACAATGATCATTGATCACGTTATTAAAAATAGAAAAAAAAATACACACCGGAAATAAGTAGTTTACATTTTTAAGTATTCCGTTGATGAATTCTAAGACCAGTTGGTGTACTTATACTTCGTCGAGGTGGTATTTGTGGTCGTGTGTGATGGTTCGTATTAACATTTTCTTCTCTAGGATAAAAATCATATGGTGATGGATCATTCGTTGGTCGTCGTGTCTGAGGATGAGATAGATGACTGTGGCCACTAACTTGTGATGTTATTGTACTTGATCGTTCTAAAATTGGTCTGTTGTTTTCTGTATCAATGTAGTAAGACAATGGATCAATATTTGAACGATTCTTTGTTACATTTCTACCTGTTGAAGAATTCATATAATGATGAGAAGCTGAAATTTGTGAAAAATTTTGTAAATTTTCATATGGATTTGATAGATCTGGTGCCACTAAATACAAATAGTTTTTCATCTATCAATAGGTAATATGAAAGTATCCTACCAACATCTAATCGATCAGTTTGTTTCAAATATGCTTCAACACAACGATATATCAATAAATATTGTTCCTAAAAAGTAACAAGTTTTTATTTTATTTTTTATTTTTTGCTATTAGATTTCAATTTTTTCAAATTACTTTTGTTTGAACCATTTTAACTCTTTGTTGTCGTAAATGATATACAATAGCCATCACATCAAGTTCGTACGTTGCTAATTCAGCATTAGAACGATCGAGTAGACGAGTTATGGTATCTACTGTTATATAAGTACCTGTTCGACCAACACCAGCACTATGAAAAATGAACATTATATAGTTGATCTTTTGTTTTTTTTTTCTCATATTTCAAATTTTCTACCTGCAATGAACAACGATGGGTGTTGAAAATGAACCATTTATTGTTCTATGACAAACTGAAGATAATGATGATTCATGTGTATTTACTTTATCAATAAGAGCAAGTAATTTTCTTGCTTCAACAACATTAAAATCCGGCCAGCCAGTATAATGATAATGAATAACAGCATGTTTTACTTCATACTTTTAATAAATATTATTTGAATCAAAAAAATAATAAAATAAAATTAAGAAAAAAAACAACATGTTTTACTTGTCTTATAGATAAATGACGAATTTCCAGACTAGTATGAGGATAACTTTCAATGTGATTTACTTTTACAACAATATTATCAAATTTCATTTGTTCACCTTTACGTTTTGGAAAATAAGAATGACATTTTGGCTAAAATATACAAACAATTCAATTATAAATTCTATGAAAATTTAAATCAGAAAAAAAAATGCGGAGTACTTTAAAAGAAGTTTATCCCTCTCGATAAAAATTGTGCCTATGTACTTGACTATTTCTACTAATAGATTATCCTCTCACTAACAGTCATTTAATGTACAAGAAAAATATTCTATTTAGAAAATGCTCATTTACGTGCCCGATCTTGTTCTTCCATTCTAGTTAACATAACAATTTTTGGTGCTTTATATTGAATAATCATATCCCAAAAATCTTCACATGTATTTTCCAATGGACCTTGACATGCAATATATTTTCTTGTTTTATCATAACTCTATAAGATTAAAAAGTAAATTTATTTAACATTTCTATTTAAAATTAAATTACAATGATTTCATTTGCATTAATATAATCATGAAAACGATGTACACCTGTTAAATAAACTGCTGTTTGTTCCCCTATAATCATAAACGAAAAAAAAAAATAAACTTGAAAAAGATTTTTTTTTTCTTCTAAATGTCTTTTCATACATGGTCCACGAGCTGGAATATTTTTGTAACGATCATAAACAACTAAATCAGGATTATAATTTGATTGATGATAACAAGGAGAAATTTTTTCTAATTCCTAATTTTAAATGAAAATATTAATTACAAAAAAAAAGACAAAGAAAACTATTTATCTTTTTTCACTGACTTCAAATTCCTCATATATTTCTTTTTTAACTTGTGAATTTATTTTTATATATTCAATAAGTGGTTTTGGTCTAAATATAAAACTTATAAAAATTTTATATTGAATAATTCCCTAATGAACCTCATCTGTTTAATGACACGATCTAATTCAATTGATGGCTTTCTAAAATTAAAAAATTTCATATTTTTAAATATGAATTTCTTTGTTTTTTTTTATACTCTGAATCAATTGATGGACTTCTGGTTGCTTTTTTAGTAAACGTATTTTTAATGTCATTTCGTTTCCATGTAATAAAGATTGCAACAATCAATACAATTAAAATAGGAATTATAATATACCATATTATTGTTTTTGATGGTTTTTGAGGTTGATTTTGAACTAAATGACAGATAATTTAAATCAAACAATCATTGATTATAAAGATAACTTACTCTTCGTACGAAATGTTTTTGAAAGTACAGATGAGCATCCTGCTTTTGTACAAGCACTTACAATAATTCTATTATTAATTATAATTAAATAAATAATTTCAAATATAAATAAATAAATTTTACTTATAATTAGTATCGGCTTTCAATTTTCCATTACAAGGAATAGTTACATTAGAATAATTTTCACATGTATCATTACCAAGTATTAAAGGAATTTTATCATCACTTTTCAAAACTACACTAGCAGAAAAATAAAATTAAAAAACAAAAACAAAAACAAAAATTGTGGGCACAGATCTTTTGCGTCTAAAATATGTAACTCAGATATATTCTTTAATCTGATTATATTAATACAAAATATATTAATTGAAAAATCTCTAGCAGACACTATATGAAAATTTAAGATTTCGCATGATCATTTTAATCAGCATCAAATTCAAAAAAAACCGATCCTATTGAATAAGATGTTTCTACTAAATATTTACAAGAATCTTGTGGAGGTGGTGATGGTATTGGAATATTAAGAGCTAAATAATCAATTGAATCATTTTTTAAAGCAGCATAATATGTTCCGATTAAAGTTGGTTCAAATGTATTCTTATTTACATCTAAACAATAGAATCAAAACAAAAAAAGAATATATCATCATAAGAATATGTTAATAGAAATATATAATAATAGCTTACTTTGACGTACATAAATCAAATAGTAATGTATGATTCCATTATCATGTGAAAATAGTGATGGATCTATTTCAATAACATATTGTTCACTTTGTGATTGTGTATCATTTTCGATTGGAATGATTTTATTCATTATGTCATTTTCATGTGGCATCTCAGGTGCTAAATAAAATAAAATGAAAAAATTGCAATCAAATTATTAATTGATATTCGTACCATCCTCTGATGTATTTACATACAAAAGATCAGAAGATCTTATATAATTTGAATAAATTAGTACACGAAATTTATATCTAGATATAGATAAAAAAACAAAAAAGAAAAATATTAATTAACGAAATATAAGTAAAGAAAAATAAAAATTTACCGTCGATTAGGTAAAAGACCTTCCGATTTATGTGAAAATGTTGTTGTATTGAGAGTAGCTGTTGTATTGAGAGTAGCTGTTGTATTGAGAGTATCAATATGACTTATATTTCGAATTATTTCAAAATACTCAATATATGTTCGCTGATTTATTGTGATATTAATAATTACCGATCGAGATGATATTTCACTTACGCGTAAAATTGGTACTGGAGGATCTAAAAGAATAATGATAAAAAAAAAACATTTTTTTATATAAATCTTCTAATTCTTACTAATAGCCATTGTATAGTTTTTAGAATATTTATTATCATAATTCGATTTTTTAGTAACAAAATAACATTGATAGTTACATCCATGAACACCTTCATTTTCTAACGTTGTTACACATTGATCATGATTTTTTGTCCGTATTTGACATAGATTTAGATTATTTTTAGCGACACAAATTGATTCAAGATGATCAAAATCACTTTTTTGAGTGACATTAAAAACGAACGTGGTTGTATTGGAGTCCCATTCTACTCCTTCTTTTTCAAAAACTACTGGTTCAAGATCTAAAATTAAAAACAAAAATAAAAAAAAAACCACTGATAATGATTATGATTATATTTACTTACCTGTTGTGAAATTGAATGTATCAGATGTTACATTTATGAAATTTTCTTTAATAGTTATTGCTTCACATTGGTATTTAACTCCTCGTATTGGAGAAATCATAATAAAATTACAATTTAAACAATTTTCAGTGATATTTGTTAATATCCTTGTATCATTTGAACAACTTTGATCTTGTGTAGAACAATTTAAATAGATTTGATCGAAATTTCCACGCGGATGATTAAAATAAATCCGTGCTATGTTTTTATCACAGCAATCATCTTCAAACTTGAAATTTGTTGCTTTATCAAGATCTTAAATGATAAGAAATTCAGAGAAAAAAAAAGAAGTTTTTTTTTTTTTTTTTGTATATTATTACTTGTTTGACATTCTTCATAAAGAGTTTCTTCTTGAAATATATTATCATCGTCATCATCTGTTTTATCTGCTATTCGAATAGGTAATCGAATTAATGAGAAATTATAGATTGAACCTGATTCAATATTAGAACATGTATGTGTACAATTTTCTGAAAGAGTTTGATTTGATATATCAGAATCATTACAACGAAATATAAGATATTCTATATCACATATATCTGTACAATTCGGTATAAAGATTAATGCTTCTTCTAAATCTTCAATAATTGTTACATTAATATATGTTGATGCATTAAGAGATAAAGGTGCTAATGTAACAATAAATATTTCATTGAAAATAATTTGAACATCAGAAATTTTTTTACCAATACTAAACGTCCAATTTCGTCCAGCATTATTCATAATATTGTCACAAGTAATACTAACAATAGTATAATTCATATTATCTGATATATCTGCAGTAACAATACAATTTTCTACATTCGATTCATTAACAAATACAAATAATTCAGATGAATTTATTGATGAACAATTATAAGTAATAAATCCTATAAACATAGATGAAGTTCGATCTTGAACAATTATACCATTAGATTTATCAAAATCACAAGTCTTCACTAGAAAAAGATAAATCAAGAATCACTTTTATATAAATAAATTATATATTTACAATCAGGTATTGTATATGCTTCAGTATTGGCGAGTGTAACATATTCACTTTTGATCAGAGTTTCATTAGTCAATATATTTAAAAATGCTGGACTATCATCACTAGTCATATTATATTTACTATTAATTAACGTATTATTCGTTCTTTCGACATTGTTATCTAAACAAGAATATCAAATGTTCTCTAAAACAATATCGAAAGGTCTAAAAATGGATATTACTCACCATTAGTAGAGTCATATGTATCATAAGACGTAACAGTTGTTGTGTTTGTTGAAAGAGACTCAACATGGTTTGAATTTTGTGAAAAATTTATTGTTTGACCATTGATACATTTGATTACCTAGATAAATATAAATTTTAATTAATATTAATGAATATGTTATATTAAATTTTTTACCAATAGAAAAACTTGAAGTAAATAGTACACTCTACAATTTGCAATATGCATGAGAACTTCTATTAAACTGAAGCAGTTATTATAATAGTTGTTATTATGTAATAGATTTTTGCATGAGAACAAGCAGAATTATAAAAAAAAAAGAGTGTTGTCGAATGATAGACTTCGATGAGTCAAACAGAATGAAGTGCAGCTTTTAACAAATGTGTGCTATTGAAAGTAGCCTTTACATTTACCTGTATACATAACATATCTTTTGGATGATATGATAATGAGAATTCTTTTTTTTTTAGTAAACAGAAAAAGAAAAAAAAATGTCATATCCACTATAGACAATATCAGAACAGTAACAGTTTACATAGAATCATTTTTTAAACAAAGAATATCACGCGTCACTCTTCTACGTTACCTTTTTCGTTTTCGAATCAAAGAAAATTTTATTTATTTATTTATTTCGTTTTTTTTTCTTTTATATGCATTAGTATAAGATGACTAATGAATTGCATGTTGACCATTATGTCAACAGAAAAACCGAGAATTATTTCATTATTATGTATTCAATGTAATACTTTATTATCTATTGTTTGAGCACAAATAATATTTAAGTGTTGGTTCGAATGATACTAAACAAGGAGAATAACTATTATAATTGTTAAAAACAAAATGATCTGATAAAAATTAATTTTTGATAATTTGTTTAACAAATAAATTCTAAAGTTCAATTAGAAATTTATTAAAATATTTAATATGATTTTTTTTGTAAAAATTCGTATCCTATTACATTTTAAACGATTATTTTCATTATATTCGTTGATAAAAAAGAATGCTCAATAGGTCATATCTTATGGGATGTGAAGAGACGACTAACACACCCTGATATAAGAGAAATATTTATCAAATAGACTACAAGTCGAGTCCATTACATAAAAGACATCTACGAAGTAAAATTGTTTGAGCAATAAACATTATCTGATTTCGAATATTAACATATTTATTTTGAAATGAAAAAAAAAAAATTTTTTTTTTTAAATAAAATTAACTATAAGCTTAAATTAAATTTTTATTATTTTATGTCAAGTTCTACATGAACACTACTTCAATTAGTTGCTTATTCAAGAAAATAACTTGTCAGCAAAACACCTTCTTTAGCTTCACTATATTATCAAGATTAATGAATTACCAGAAAAAAAAACGATCTGTCACATTTATTTCTGTATGACTATGAATCTTTAACAAATTATAGATATTTATATCTTTTATTGAAATATTTTCTGTTTTAAAATAGCGATTGATTTATAATTTATACTTCAGTATTAATGTATTTCTATTAAATGATAATAAGAATATATTTAATTGTCATCAGTAGCTTCGAGATGATCAAAATTGATTTGTTAAATCAGAACAAAATTTTTTTTTTTATCAATCATTGATTTTATAACTAGATGAAAAATAATTAGAATTATTAAGAAATCGATTCGCATTAATCATAAAGACTTACTTTTATTTAATTTTTATTCATTAAATACTATTATGTTCAAATTTTTTTTTATTGATAATTGATATTTCATTTTAATATCCGACTATTTAGACACTGTTAATCTTGTACGATTATAAAGTATATTTTGTTGAAGTTTATATGTAACCATTTGTAATGTATCAATACTGTTTTTATTATGTTATCGGTTGTCTTCGAAAGTCAAATTATTTCTTTGGTTAAAACCTACAGTGACAATAAAAAGAGATTTGCATAATAGAATAGAGACATTGTTAGAAACCTAACTTTTTCACTTACAAATAGAATGAAGAATGTATCTTAATATGCATATTCAAAATAAAAATTGACGAATTGGTTTAGAACATTAAAAATGGTTCGTTAAGAAGGTAAAATCGAAATTTTTTTTCATGTCTTAATTATCTGTTTATTTTAATGCTTCCAAATAGGATATAAATTTTGAGTACCTGTAATTCAAAAAAGTTAAAGTCAAATGGATGTAATCCTTCGAAATTATTCGAGTTTGCAATTACCTCGAAATTAGAAACAAATTTTATTTTGTACGCCATATTTTTTCCGTTTGGTGAGACAATCGAAATTGTCTCTAAAATTTTTTCGTAACGAGACAAACGGAATTCAGAACAACTTAGAAAAAAAAACAAATGTCCTGAATTTTTTTTTACTTTTTATGTCAGAACATGATCTTATACGACATCTCCTATTTCTAGTTATGTTCAATGATCTTAATGCAACTGACTAATAAAGAAATCATGAATCTGAATTTTGCATATAGCATCGGAAATATCAATCGTCATTACTAAACAAGTGGAAATCAATAAGACGGATATTATACTTTATACGTTCAGCCGCCCTTCATTTAACGGGATTTCTGACAGGATATTGTTTGTTCATGAGAACTTTCCTAAAAAAACAACTACGTGTTCTGGACATCTTTACAAGTATCAGTACAAATAAAGAAACGACAAATCCTCTTGTAAGCAAATAAGAAGTTGAAAAATAAATACTAAATAGGACAGCATTTTCTTGGAGATTGCGAGATGAGACAGGAAATATTTTACAGTCTGACCCTGCTAAAAGTCTATTTATTTAATCAATAAGCTAAATAACCTTAACTAAGTGTGAACTGAAAGAATCAATACTTTTACAAATATTTATGAAAAAAGAACTTATTCAAAAAGTTTACCGTTATAAAGAATTGAAGTCAAATCGACGATAGTCATGTTCCGTTTTCACTGATTTTGCTCACATCTTCAAACTCATTTAATAGTCTTCTCATCATTATTACACATCATAGTGACTCCTTTGTTTTTTTTTTTATTCTATCAAAAGTTGTCAGTGATATGACAATGGTCTATTTATATATTCAAGCGGTGCGCAGATTTGAGTCACGATAAGAGAAAAGGGCAATGGATCTTGCAAGTTAATCATGTCCTGCTATAACCGTCAGCATCAGGTATGAGAAAAATATTCAGTAGGCTATAGGAAGAGAAAATTCACAAATCTTACTTTGTACATCACCTATTTACATGTTGATAGATCTATCTGAAGCATATATCTCCAGTGGAAATATCAACAAAAAAACGGTTAGAATTATTACGTAACGTTGCATGTGTAAGAAACTTTCGAGTTTCGTTTCGTTAAAGAATGAAGATTTCTTTATTATTAAATATATGTTCAATAAGGCTCATGTCAATCTAAATCGTTTTGGTTTTAATAGCAAAAATTGTGATACATTCAGTTCGTACTTAATCTAAAACACAATCTTTTTAATTAAATAAGATAAACTTTAGTAGATTCTATTCATTCAAAATAATTAATAAAAATATATAGAAAAATGTTTTTTTGTTGTCTGATTATCTGTACGTTTGTCCCTGACACTTGTAATAATATAGAAAGAAAGAAAAAACCTAAGTGAAGTTGATTGCAATCAAAAAATAGTATAGAACTACATTAAGATATACTTAACATCTTAAACAAATATATAATAGATATCAGTTCGAACTTTGGAATTCTTTTCGAAATGATCTTATGACTAATAACTAATGCAAATAAGAATATAATAAATCTTTGAATTGATTTTTTACATGAAATTTTATTATTGAAAATAGTTTAATTATTCTAATTATATTTAATTCTATTTGATTTTATCAAAAAAAAATCGAATGTGTATAATCAGTATATTATTTTACAATTCATCAAAGATTTAAAAGAAAAATTCTTAATTTTATAAAAATAAAAAAAAAATATTTTGTGAACTGTTTTTATATTCATTGAACATAATCATATTCATGTTCATCTATTAATTCTTGTTCATTATTCTCAGTTCTTTCTGATATATTTTTATTGATTTCATTGACTACATGATCAATTATTGATGATGAATTGACTTTTGAATTATGCTTTGAATCAGATAAATTTATATAACGACGGTCACGTAATTTCGACAATGAATCTGGAATTGTTTCATAAGTATTGGGCGCATTTATTACTAAAAAGAATTCTTCAGTATACAATTTTAAATAAAATTTTCTTACTTAAATTTAATCGATTTGTTTTTTTTAAATATTCTTCTATACAATGATGAATCAATAAATATTGTTGCTAGAAAATATTATTTAAAAAAAAATTCTAAATTAATATCGCATTTAAAAGACCATACTTCTGTTTGTACCATTTTTGCTCTATCATGTTTTAATTGATTAACAATTCCCATAATATCAAGTTTCATTCTTATTAATTGTTCATTAGGTAAATCAAGTAAATGAGTTATAATATCAACGGCAATGTAAGTTCCTGTTCGACCAGTACCCGAACTAGATAACAGAAAAAAAGATTTCATCAACATTTATGTTTTTTTTTGCACTCAAAATACAAATTCTTATACAAATCTACTCGTTCTTCAGTACACAAAATTGGACTAAACTATAAAATATTTGCAATGGACACTACAAATTTGAATGATCAATTGATTAAAACGATTGATCGTTATGTTAATATGATTTCATACAATAAAGAATGTCTCCTGTTAGTTAGAATTTTCTAAAGACAACCGAAATTTTGATGAAAAATATATCAAAAATCATTTTTTTGTAATGAAAAAACCCTGCTAAGTAATACACAAGGTTGATTTGGCTATCAGTGGAAAATTTTACTTTAAAACAACGTTCTATTTTGGAGATATTAGTTGTTGAAATTGTTCTATTTTCTGTTTATTTTCATGCTTATTTTTTTTTACAGACTTTCAATATTGTGAGAATGAAATATTCTGTTGAACAAAAAGCTTTCTAATGATCATAAGATTTATTTGTAGACGAAATTTCGCAATTTTTATGTATAATTTAACAAAAATTGGAAATGTAATAAGAAAAAAAAATGAAATGAAACTTCTTTTACGTGAATTTCTTGTATAGCCTAATCGTGATCTAATCTTATAAAAATTGTACCTGCAATGAACAACAATAGGTGGTAGTAAATTAATTGATACTTGGTCATATTGATTAACAATTTCTGTTAAATCAATTAGAGTTCGACAATCGATAGTACCAAATTTTGACCAATTGGTGAAAAGAAAATGAATAACATCATATTGTTTTTTACTCTTAATAAAAAAAATTCTTTTTGTTTTTTTTTTTTTTTGGTACCAAAAATCGAATATTTAAATAAAATGTTTTATACTTTTTGAACATGTAAACGACGAATTTCAAGTTGATTATCAAGATAATATTCAATATTATTAACTGTAATTTTAATTGTATTAAAATCTAATGTTTCATTCTTGTTCATTGGAATATAAGGATAACACTGAGCCTATTATCAATAAAAATTTTTCTTTTGTATAGATACAATAACTAACAATATTATTCAACAAGGTTTTAGAATCTGATGAAGAAAGATTACATTTGAAAAACTGCTTATTATTTTTATTTTCTTATACAAACATATTGATTTAATAGAATCGAGAATGGTTTATTTCAACTTATAGAAGATATTCTCCTCTTTTGAATTCAATATCCACAGGATTTGTAACTAGATTAGTAGAGAAAAAATATTTATTTATTGTAACATTATTCCCATGCAATGTAAAATATTTGTTATCGTCTAAAATAACATCACAAACAGAAGATATTATGATGTATAACCAAGGGGAACAAGCGGACTTCTGTACTTCCGAAGTACGGAGAAGTACCAAGAAGTACAGAGAAGTACGCGCTTTCTTCCTCGATTTTTTTCCCAAAATAGAACAAAAGTGTTCTGTTATTGCGAAATGTCGAAAATTCTGTTTTTTGGGAACAGAGTTCTTGATATTTGTCAAGAAGTACAGAAGTCCGCTTGTTCCCTCTTGTGTATAACTTTCCTAGAATCCTTTCTAATCTTGCATGCTTGAATTTTATTCTACTTGTATTATTTTTTTTATCATCTAGTAAAAACTTGTGTTGAACAATTTGAAAAAGAAAAACCTTGTTGAATAACTTTTTTTCTTAGTAAATATTACTGATGAAGAAGGATCTTGTAGATTTTCTTGATCAAACTGATTTAACATAACAATTTTTGTTATTTTATATTGAATAATCATATCCCAAAAATCTTCACATGTATTTTTTAATGGACTTTGACAAGCAATATATTGTTTGAGACTATTTACACCCTATAAAAATACTTAGAGTCTACGTTATTCTGTTTTTTTTTGTTATAATGATGAGAAATAGTTTAATATTACTCGAATTTCATTTGCATTAATATAATCATGTTTACGATGATTACCAGTTAAATGAACGGCAGTTTCTTCCCCTTTTTAAACATATGTATGTTTAGAATTTTCTTAAAAAAAAAAAGATAATTTACATACATGGACCTCGACTTGAAATATCATTATATCGATCAAAATGTGAAGAACTCATCGATTGATCAGATTGTGGAGCTAAATTTTTTAATACCTATCATAATAGTATAATCAATTGTTTTGTTTTTTTTTGCATTTTTAGACAAGTGAAATAAACAATAACTGACTTGAAATTCATTATTTATGTTTGTTTTATCTTCATCTGTTAAATTAATATATTGAATTAAAGGTTTCGATCTGAAATATAAATAATACTTGAAGAGATTTTCAATATAATTCATATCTAACTTAATTTCTTGAAAATTATACACATATGATGCTGGTACGACGCTATCAAAGAAATACTTCAGTTGTGATCTATTTAAACTAATAGTTTTTTTTTCACTTACGTTCGTAAATCAGCAATGTTTAGATTATTATTTTCTCTAAGAAAAAAAAATAATTCATTTCAAAATGAAGAAATAATATTTTTTACTTTTTTTGTTTTTTAATACAACATCTTTTTAATCCATCTCGTTTCCATATGATTAAACCAATACTAGGAATCAAAACAGCCAAAATAGGAAATACAGAAATCCATGCTTTCGATGATGATGATGATGGCCGAGGTTTATTTTCAACTAATCAGACTAATATTTCATTATAGATTTATTAAAAATTTCTTACTAACTTTTTGTTTGAAATGATCTTGAAAGTACATAAGTACAATCAACACTTGCACAACCACCAACAATTATTCTACGTATAATTATTCATAAAAATACAACATCAAATAAATAGATGAATAAACGTACTTATAAATTTTATTTGGTTTGAGTTTGCCATTACATGGAATCGAAAAATCATTACTCTGCCAACAGCGTGTTTCATTACCAATTATCATACGAAATTTATTACTGTTTATTGATGAATCGAGATAAATAATTTGAGCTAAATAATCGACTGAAGAATTTTGCCAAGCATCATCATATGTGCCAACAAAATATGCATTAGATTCAAAGTTGCTTTGATCTATAAATTTCAGACAGAAATAGTTTTATTTTGATAATAAAGTGAAAAATGCTTTTTACCTTGACGTACGTAGATCAGATAACGCAAAACAATACCATAATCATTAGAAAATAATGATCGATCAATCTCAATTACATGTTGTTCTGTTGTTGATGCATCATCATTATCTTGTGGAACAATTTTTGTTTGAATTTCGTAATCAGTTGGTTTCGGTGGTGCTGTAAATATGAAATAAAAAAGTGAAACAAAAAAAAAATATAAAATATATCTACCTTCTTCGAGTGTTTTGACAGAAATTTGATCAGATAAAACTTGATAATTTGAATTGAGTCGAATGTATAATTCATAACTAAATCAAATTAAATATTTTTTGAGAACAAAAAACATATTAAAAATAAAAATCTACTGACTTTCTATTAGGCAATAGATCAGTACAATTATACGAAAATGTTGAATTATCAATATTTAGAATTCGATTTTGATTTATAAATAAATCAAATGATTGAATATATGCAAATTCATTTATTGTCCATCTGATCAATATCCATCGTGATCCTTTTCCATACTCAAATAAGTTTGATTTAGGAGGAACTAAATTAAATTATCATTGACAAAACATCATTATAAGTAAATATACTTACAAAATATCCATCGGTATTCATTTGAAATTGCATTATTATAATTATATTTCTTTGTTACAAAATGGCATTTATAATTACATCCGCGAATACCAACGAAATATAAAGATGTTGAACAACTGTACGTTGCTACTGTTAAATTTAAGCATGAATATGTTGTATCATCATCAACAATACATATTAACTCAATAGAACTAAAATCACTTTGTGGAATTACATTCAAATAAATAGTACTTGTGTTAAAATCATTCAATCCATTATATAATATTGGTTCAAGACCTTAAAAAAAAAGGAACACATAATTTTACTAAACATACTCGGTTACTCACTACTATTGAAATTATATTCATCAGATATTTTATCAGCGAAATTGTCTTTGATAGTCTTTGCTTGACATTTGTATTTCATTCCTCGTAACATTGGAAATATTGAAATGAAAGTACAATGAGAACAATTTCCAGTTGTATTCATCAAATATATATTATTATTTAAACAATATTGATCTAATTCATAACAACTAATAGAAATTTGATGATACGATCCATATGGACGATTAAAATAGATAAATGTTTTATTCTTATCTATTGGATCTTCTACAAAGATTAAATTTTTTACTTTATCAAGATCTAAAATAATAATAAATACAAGAGAAAATTTAAATTAGAGTTTTTGTTACTTGTTGTATAAACTTGATTGAGAGTTTCTTCTTGAAAAATGTTATCTTGTTCATCGTCTGTCTTATCGACTATTCGAATAGGTAATCGAACTAATAATGCATTATAAATTGAACCTGGTTCAAGATTATAACATGTATAAGTACAATCGTTTGAAAGAGTATTATTTGATAGATCATATTCGTTACAACGGAACACGAGAGATTTTTTATGAGATATATCACGACAATTATATATTAAAATTGATGCTGTTCTTTGATCTTCATTAATATTTATTAGGATAGATGTAGAATTATGAAGAGATAATGGTTCTAACGTGATAGTGAATGTTGCATTAAGAATAACTTGATTATAAACAAACGATTGAATCAAACTGAACGTCCAATCTCGACCAGCATTATTTTGAATATTGTAACATGTTACACTTACTGTTCTATCGCTTAAATAGTACCCATTTATGTAACAAGTAGCTGCTTGTGTTTCATTGAAAAATATGGATAATTCAGACAAACTTATCGAAGAACAATTATAAGGAATAAGAGCTGTAAATGAAGTCGATGTACGAAAAGTGACATTGATTTTATTTTTGTATCTGTACCACACACTTCATCTAGTTAAAACACAAAAATTAGATTGACTCTTTTAACAAAAAAATGAAATGTGTTTTCAATTAGTAACAGTACTACTCATAACTGTGGAAAATATTTTATTGTTCCTTCTAGATTTATTTACAAGTACTGCTGTGAATTGAAGTACATGTATAGCCCGTAAGAAAATAGTTATTTCAGTACCTGTAGAACGTAATTTTGTCGAGTTTTGT